GAGGCTTTGTGCCAGAACATCTGGAACAGGTAGAAATTCTGGACAGAGGCAAAGCTGAATCCATGTAAGGTGGAGCTGAAAAGATCTCTGGTGTTGCCCAGAATCCATGGAGCCTGCAGAGAGAGGTGGAGGCTGTTCTTAGGACGTAGGCAATGAGTAGTGCAAGAGTTAAATCCTTGGGATTCCTGTCTCCCACTGTCATTTTGCAGTTTCTGTCTTCCTCTCCTTATTTTCCATGTGAGCTTCAACTCCTTAAACAGATGTGCAGATGTTGGGCACGTAGATTTCCTGGCGAAGGTTCACCAGCTGGCAGAGAAACCCTACATCATTGCTGGGCTGCACTTCGATCAGGTCCGTGTAGAACCTGTCCAAAGGCAGAGCAGCTTGACCCTGTTCTCTGAGCCAGGCAGGCTGTGCTCCAGGGGACAGGACAGGGATGTATTGGCCAATACAGGAATTTCATTTGGGAGAGAGCAGGAGGGAAGTGTGTTGCTCTCTCTCTCTTCTGACTGTGCCTGGTGCTTTGCCATAGGAGGTGAATCGCTACAAAGGGAAGAACTATCCCATCATGAACATCCACGAGAGAACCCTCAGTGTCCTGGCCTGCAGGGTGAGTGGGTGTCTCTGTGCTGTTCCAGAAGTTCCCTGGGGCTCAGTGGTGTTCACCTGTGCCCAGTGATCTCGCACGAGTTCCTTGGTGTGCACAGAGAAGGCACGTCTGTCATGGGTCACTTGAGGCTGCCAGAGGTGCTGATGGGCTCTTGGGAGGCTCCACTGAGCTCCTGTGCCATCCTGGCTGACCTGAGCTCGTGACCTGTCTGGCTCTGCAGGGCAGCAGAGGCTGCGTGGCTCCTCGCAGACAGACGTGCTGGTAGAAAACTCTCTGCTCCCTGCAGCAGGGGAGAAAAGTGCTGAGGCAGAAACGTGGGGAGCCCCAGGAATGTGTGCCCTGAGCAATTAGCTTTTTGGATTTGTTCTACAGGCATGGAAAGGACATTTTTCAGGGGAACAAAAAGCTGCTGTGTGACAAGCAGTGCCTGCTGAACCTACTTCCCTGTTCCCTTATTTGAGTTCCTGCCCATATAGCAGGTGACCTGCTCAGGTCTCTTTAGGAAGCAGGTGGCCTCTGGCTTGTGGTTTTTTGGTTTTTGTTTGGTTGGGTTTTTTCAAATCTGGACTCTTAACTGGTTCCTTTTCTAGTACGTCTCGGAGGTGGTGATTGGAGCTCCCTATGCTGTCACTGCTGATCTGCTGGATCACTTCAGGGTGAGTCCTTGCATACAGATGGACATGGAGATGCTGGTGTGTGACGTGCTTGGGGAGGTGAAGTGATGCAGGACAACACAGGGGTGTAAGAGGGAGGTGTCCTGCTCAGTGGGTTACAGGGAGCTCCAGAGGCACTGCCAGGCTGGTGCAGGAGGGCGGCTTTGCTGGTCTTCAGGCTGTGTTTAGTGGGAGCAGTGTCAGGGAATGTCCCTGTCATCTTTTGGATCTTGTCAACAACTTTGTGTCCTTCTCCAGGTAGCACTTGTGTGTCATGGGATGACTGAGGTGGTGCCAGACAAGGACGGTTCTGATCCGTACGAGGTAAGAACCAGCTGCTTTGGCAGCACTTGGCAGACACAGCCTGGCTCTGGTTGAGTTCCTGGGCTGAGAAGGTGCATTGCAGAGAATGCTGCATGGGCAGGGCTGTGGCAGATGATGCTGCTTTTTATCCACCCCTGAGGGCAGCTATTTGGAGCAGGGTCTGTGAATCATTCCCCACATCTCCACTCTTACAGGCACTGTTTTGCACTGCCTGTTTCTGATGCCTTCATGGCAGGGTGAGAAAATCTGTGTGCTTTGCTCTGTGCCAGACCCGGGCAGCTTCCATGTCCATGTTCTGCCTCTGAGGAGATGGTTGTGCCTCCTGCCTGGCTGGGCACTGCAGGACCTGCCCCAGCTCGGCTCAGCTGTCAGTGCTGAGCTGCACACCCGGGTCCCACGTGTGGTCACAGCCCAGTGCTGTGTCTGTCCACAGGAACCGAAGCGACGCGGCATCTTCCAGCTGGTGGACAGTGGCAGCAATCTCACCACAGACCTGATTGTGCAAAGAATCATAAAGAACAGGTGGGATGTCTTTGTCTCCCAGTTCTGTCACAAACTGTTCTGTCCAGAGTATCTGGGGATTGATTAATGGGATCGAATGGGGAGAGAAGGGGTTGTCTAAAGGCAAACTGGTTCTTCCACTTCCATGGCTCGGGCAGGCTCTAAGTGTGGATGTGCCAGTCTGTACAGGGAAAGGAACAGCTGAACTCTGCTGTGTCACAATGTGCTGAATGGCATATTTTTTGTTTTTTCTTCTTTATTAATGGTAAATTTCCTTGCTGTATCCTGTGGAAAAGAGCATGTTACTTCCTTCAGAGCTTTGCTGTTTTAGGCCTGAGCCCTTCACCTTCAGCAACCTTGGCTCAGATCAGTGGTAAATTTGATTTTGGTGTTACTGTTTGAGATGTCCCAGGACAGACCAAGAACAGAATAGTAGCTTTTTCCACAGAGGGAGTAGTGTGGGAGCCCAGGACTGCACAGTCATGTCAACAGCCATGGGGAGCTCTGGGAGAGGCTGTGGAAGAGCCTGGGGGCCTCAGGAGGGTTTCTGAAGTGCTCTCAGAACAGAACAGCACAGGAAAAGGCAGCGCTCTCCTGCTCCAAGTGCTTTTGTCTGCAGGAGGTGGGGATGGATGAGAATCTCACGGCACTGTGTGATTGATGCAGGCTGGAGTTTGAAGCTCGGAACCAGAAGAAGGAAGCGAAAGAGCTGGCTGTGCTGGAGGCCATGAGGAGGCTGGAGGAGGAGAAGCACTAGGCTGCAGAGCGTGGGTGTGTGGCCACAGAGCGCTGCAGCCTCACCCTCTGCGGGAGCAGCAGCTCTTGAGGAAGGGAGCCCTGAAGGGGGCAGCGCTGCCGGCACGCAGGATGTGCTGTCCCACCCTCTGCTGTCCCGGCTCCTCCTGCACTAATTGCGCAGACAGAACGAGTTGGGATCCCGCTGCCTAGTTTTATCTCTGTTAATCAGCCCCCGTTCCCTTTCCCAGAAGGAGATTTGACAAAAAAAAAATGGTTTTAATTATAACTAATGTTTTAACATGTTGATGTGCTTTTACCTTCTGCCATTTCTGGCTCTTAGTAGGAGGGAAGTGGAGCAGCTGCCCAGGCCCCCTGCCCTGCCAGACTTGGCTGTCCTGAGTGGGGTCTGCATTCCAGAGCAGCCCCTTGGGCAGGGGTGGGGGCAGCTTGACAGACAGTGAGAGTGGCCTCGGGTTGGGGGGTTGTGGCCCCCACAGTTCCTCCTGCAGCTTTTGCTTAGAGCCATGGGGCCATCAGTGCTGGCTGCTGGAGGTGCTTCTGGACTCTGGGGTCCACTGTGCTGCCTCTCCTCAGCTCCTGCCCTTGCGCAGACCCAGAGCTACTCTGGGTTGAGCTGGATGAAGGCAGATCCTTTGCTGCTTCAGTGACAGGCAGGGGGTGGTACCTGCTGAGGGGGCAGGGGGTGCAGGGACCCTCGATTGAGGCATTTCTCCAGGTAGGGCACGGGAACCCTGGGACCTTCTCCCAAAGGCTCTTCCATTTGTGAGGCAGCAGGACCTGGTGCCTTGTGTCGACTGTGCTCAGAACCCCCCTTGTTGCTGCTGCCAGAATCCACCTTGTGCCCAAGGGGTTACATGAGGGTGGGACCTGGCCAGGTGAAGTTTTGGGGTTGTTTTCTGAGGGCTGACGTGCAGCATCTCCCTGTGTGGAGATGCAGGGCCTGAGGAGGGGATGGGTGCTGGGCTGAGCCCCTTCTGCCTCTTACATTCCAGGGTGCTGTGGTGGGCGTCCTGAGCTGCTCCCTGACTGGGCCAGACAGTCCTGCCAGGCTGGGTCTGGTGTCCTCACTGTTGTAAACTTTTGTTGCTGATCATTAATAAAATGTTGAAGAGTTGTGCACTGGTCTCTTTAGGGCTCGAGCCCAGGTAGCAGAGAGGGGGTACAGGGGATGTGTGCTGGGACTGAGCATGTTCCCTGCATGGCAGCTCCCAGTCCTGGGGCTGGCACAGCAGCTCTGACTCTGGGCTGTCGGCCCCTTCCTGGGGTCTGCCGGCTGTGGAATGCACAAATTCGCCCTCTGCAGTGCAGGGCCCCCTCCCACGGGCACTGCAGAGGAGTTTGTCCTTAAGGACAAACAGCTCAGCCCTGGTGATGCATCCGCCCGGCCGAGCACGTCTCTGAGCCACCCCCAGGACAAGGCAGGTACCGCTGGTATTAACGAATGACAGAAGCGTTTAATTGCTGTCGCCGGGTGGAACCATCGGTGTGGGGACTCAGCCCCTCCGGCTCAGCTGGAGCTGCTGTTCCTCGGGGCCTCTGGAACTGCTACTGGGTTTACTTTGAGAACTTTTGACATATGATGTTCCTTCCTCCAAGTGCCTCTGGGCTCTTCTGCTGAGCTGTTTACTGACAGCCCCCGAGTCCCAGGGGCACAATTGAATATGGAGTTAAAATTGGGGGGGGTGCAGGGAAACAGCCTGAATTCCAAGTTTGTGACTTTGTTTTCTGTGGTTTGTTGTGGGGTTGTTTTGTTCTGATTTGTGGGGTTCCCCCCACACCCCCCAGGTGCAGATCAAGACTGTGGTTCCAGCACCCACCCCAGGGCAGCCCCCCCAGGAGGAGATTGCAGTGCGTGTTCCCTGTGCAGTGCAGGGTCAGCACGGTCTTCCTGTCCCTGGGGTGAAGGGACAGGAGCACCATGCCTGTGGTCACTCCCTGTCCAGCCCAGCCCCCCTGCACCCCCCCCCCGTGTCCTGCAGCCCCCAAGGCCTCGGGCTGCCCTCGGGGCTCAGGGATTTTGTTCTGCCAGGTGTCTGAGCAGCCTCAGCACCGCCGGAGGGAGTGGGGGTGCTCAGCAGCCCAGAGCTCCCCAGATCCAGGTGGGCTCCCCCCACCCCACAGCACCTCCCTGCCCTGCAGGACAGACAAACAGAGCCAGCCCAGGCACGTTTATTGTTTCCCCAGTGCCACCAGCGCTGGCTCAGGACACCGCACACTCCACAGGGTCCCAGGACACGCTCACATCCGCCCTGCACCGGAGAGCTCGGGGCACTCCCGGCAGCGCCCGGCAGCTCCGCGGCTCGGGGGCCACATCCGTCACGCACAGCAACTGCGGGAGACACGGTCACGGGGCGGGCGGCAGAGCCGGGGAGCCCCAACCTTAACCCAGTCCTGCTGCTCGCTGCAGAGCATCGCGGGGGCAGCGGAGCCCCGGTACCCGCGGTGGGAGCAGCTCCCGGTACTCACGGTGGCGCGGAGCGCGCGGGCCAAGCGGGGCGGCGCCGGGCTCGGAAGAGCCGTCGGTGTCGGAGCGGCGGGGGAGCGGCGGAGGCTGGAGAGCAAACCCGAGGCTCTGCCCACCGAGTAGTGGCGGGGCCGAGCCGCCTGCCGGTACCAGGGCTCGGCAGGGCGGCACAGCACGAGCAGCGCCAGGGCAGCGCGCACGGTGCCGGCGGGGCCGCAGCGCTCGGGGCGACCCGCCCCTGCAGCCCCGGGACGGCGCACACGGACACAGCGCGGCTGTGGGGAGGGGCCGGGGCCGGGGCCCCCCCGTTCCCCTCGTACCCGGTGCCGCCGTCACTCGCGGAACTTCCACTCCTGGCGGCACATGGGGCAGTGCTGCTGCACCTGCTGCGAGTTCAGCCACTTGAGGATGCAGTGCATGTGGAAGCAGTGCGAGCACTGCCCCCACACCAGCGGGCAGTCGTCTCCGGGCACTTTACCTGCAGCACGGACGCACCGTCAGACCCGCTGGGCGCGCGGGGCGCGGTGCCCGGTGCCGGTGCCGCACTCACAGTCGGGGCAGCAGCCGTTGAACGCCATCCGGCAGATGCCGCAGTTCTCGTCGTTCGCCACCCAGAGCCAGGACGCGACCCCGTGCCAGCTCCGGACGCGCACCCGCATGGCCGCCCCCGCCCGGCCCCGCCCCTGCCGGAAGTGTCGCCCCCCACAGCACCCCGCGCGCCGGCAGCACCGCGCGCCCGCCCCGCCTTTTCCGCTTCCGGCGCGGGAGCAGCGCGGCCGGAAGTGCGGGCGGGAGCGGAGCCGCCATCATGGCCGACAAGATGGACATGTCCCTGGACGACATCATT